ATAAAATTAAAAATAATACTTTTATTTGTATTCAAATACTTTGTGAGTATTCGTAAAATACATTTTTATAATAGTATTTTAAAAGTATTTTTAATACTTTTATATTCAAATACTAGTACCTATTAGTATCTTAATACTTTTTGAAATGTATTTTTTACAAAACTGGGTATTAGTTTCACTCTATATGACTCTATTGTTTGTTGTTGAGCAGAGCTCATAAGTTGAACAATACTTTTTTTATTATTTATTTTCTAAAATATTACAAAAATTATTGGTTCTATTCGTTGAGTCACAGTACCATATAGATTGAAGATGAATTTTTACAGAGCCATGGAAGTGATTATATTTCGTAAATGTCTTAATAATGAATCGACCTTGCACTCTTCGATCCAGTTGAGTTTTAAATAATACTCAATAATGGCATAAAACTCCTTTTAATTTTGAAGAGTGAAATAAAAGGATAATCTACTAACCACTGAATACGAAATAAACGATTTTCAGTATTGGACATTTTTTTAAAATCGTACGATTTATCGCGTACCCCGCTTGTTTTAATTCTTTATAAATGATCTCGTCGGATAATTTTCCATGATTTATAAAATGTCCAATATCATAAATATCAATGTTTGCAAAATTTAAAAAAAATAATTATTGAATTTAAACCAGGGATAGAAAACATTTTTAATTTAAGTATTTTAATTTTAATTATAATTTATATAAAAATTAGATCTTATGCATTTAAACAAAAATACTAAATAGTAAATAGCAAATCTCAAATAAATTTTATATCAAATTCGAATAACCGTTAAATATTTTCGATGGACCGATAGATTTACAAAACACATCAACTAACGAATAACTTCTGTTTATGACCATGATGATAAAATATTATATGGGTAAACAATTATTACTAATCAGCAGGGCTCGTAACTTCATGCACTAAAAAATGCATAAATAAGCATGCATTCATGCACTAAAAATTGTCAAAATATGCATTAAAATATGCACTTAAAAGTTCAAAAATATGCATTTATATGCATTAACATTTTTAAATTATGCACTCAAAATATGCATTATGTAAAAAAACATGACCAAATTTTAAAATAATAAGAATAAATCCATACATTTTAAAAGTATTTTATTCCTTTTAATTTTTATATATTTAACAGTCAAAATTAATAAAATAAAAAATAAAATTAATACTTGTGAAGTTCAAATAGCTTTGTATCTTTATAAATTTTAATTAGGTAGTCAATTTTGTCTAATTTGTTTACACTCTTATTCAGCACCAACAATGAAAACATTTGGAATGAAATATTAGGATTTTCATTTTGAGATAATTTAGTAATATATATTTTATAAGTGTTTTTTTTATGTTTTCCAACAAGAGGGCGCAAATAGACAATTAGTAGACAAAATATGGCATAAAACCATGGTTTCGTAATTCAAGTAATACGGCTTATTGAAGTGGTTTATAGTAAAAATACCTATTATAAAAATTGTAAAGTAGAACTTTTTTTACAATCGTAAGAAGCCTGATTTTCGATATTTTTATTAATTAGCTAAATAATTACTCAATAAAAAACTTAAAAAACCGTTATAATTTACCATGCGATATTGGACGATTGGAACAAGATATCAAAAATCGGAAGAAACTTTTCAAATATTTGTCTAAAAAATATTTTTATGAAATAATATGCACTAACGACTGTAAAAAATCAACTATATGCCAAATATGACTTTACACCCAAAACATGCAAAAACATGCACTATCAAACTTCATATTATTATTACTATTGTTATGAAACGGATTTGTATCTCAGTTAGCATGATTTCCTGTGTGGCAAAAAAAACATGCAGATGCATGAACTTACGAGCCCTGCTAATCAGTAATCACTTTATATAATAGATAGAATTAGATAAGTAGATATTTTATGATAGAGAATATTGTGAACGTTATTTAGCTATAGAAAGGCGTGATCTAAAAATACAATTATCAATCAACAGACATCAATAATAAAATACTTTGCTTAATACCTATGTGTTATTAGTGTTCCAAAGTCGTACAACATTAAGCGACATTATGAACAACATAAGTCAAAATACGACCAGTATGAAGGGTTATTGAGGCATGAAAAACTGAAAGAGTTTATATCAGGGTATAAAAAACAACAGATTATGACGTTTACTAAAATACCACAAGAAAATGAAGCTGCAGTAAAGGTTAGTTAAGTGTTGTCAGAGTTAATTGCCAAACATTCGAAACCGTTCACTGAAGGTGATTTTATAAAAACGTGTTTGATTAAAACTGCTGAAATTATTTGTCCTGGAAATATAAAAGCTTTTCAAAACATTTCATTAACACGAAATACGGTTGCTGAAAGAATAACTGAACTAGCTTGCAATTTGAGTAATCAAATTAAAATTAAAATACCTACATTCAAGTATTTTTCAATCGCTTGTGATGAAAATACCGATATTGGTGGCACAGCTCAGTTAGTTGTATTTTTTCGTGCTTGCGATATGGAATTTAATATTTTTGAAGAGTTATTGGAAATTATACCTATGTTTGATACTACTACAGGAGAGGATGTATTCGTTTCTGTTTTTTAACTCTTGAAAAAATATGATTTACCTTTGGAAAAGTTGTCATCTGTAGCAACAGATGGAGCTCCTTCTATGACGGGGAAAAATAAAGGATTCGTTGAAAGATTGCAAAAAAAAGCGAATGAATATGTTGAACATAAATTTCATAGGACACATTGTATTATACACCAAGAGGTGTTATGTACAAAAGTTATTAATATGGCACATATAATAAGACCTGTAAAACAAATGGTCAATTTTATAAGATCCCGTGGTTTGAACCAAAGACAATTTTCGATTTTTTTAAATGTTTTATAGAAAGCGAGTATTCAGGTTTTCCATACTTTACAGAAGTACAATGGTTATCGTGTTCCACTGTATTGGAAAGATTCTTGAAGTTAAGAGGTGCCATACAAATATTTTTAGAGTCTAAAGAACAAGACGTCAGCGTTTTATCGGATCCAATGTTGTTACAAGACCTATCATGGTGGATATAACGAAGCATTTATCGAATTTTAATTTAAAATTACAAGGGAAAAATAAAATTATAACAGCCATTAATGACCATGTTAAGGCTTTCAAATGTAAATTAGATCTATTTAAAACACAATATTGCAAAACGAAGACTTAAAGCATTTCCCAGTATGCACGACTTATACAAAAATTAATAATGATCCAATTTCCCACAAAAAATATTCAGAAAAAAATATGTGCTTGAAGACTGAATTCGAAGATAGGTTTCAAGACTTCCAATATTTAGAAAACGATTTTGCCTTATTTACCTCTCCTTTTTCAATAGACGCAGTAAATGTTTCAACACATATACAAATGGAACAGATCGAGATTCAAAATGATTCAAATTTAAAAATAAATTCAATGGTGTTGGTGTTCTTGATTTTTACAGTTGTGTGCCAACACGATATGTAGAAATTCGTAGATTTGCAAGTAAAATTATTTCTATGTTTAGTAGTACTGTAACACGGGGTCAGTTTGCACCTTTGTGGTTAAGATTGCACCAATTATAATATTTGTTTTGGTATTATCTGGCGTTACATTTGTGGTTGGTAATATTGGTTTCGAGTATGCAGTATTGTTCATCATGGATTAGGTTATGTTTCTAGAAACAGTTGATCGTGATAGCTGTTATCATAACCAAATAATAAAATCAAAACTGTTTTCTGTTTACATTTTGTTGTTATCACGTTGAGAAAAATCTTTATTTTTCAGGAGTATACAACATTATTACAAGTAAGTGACCTATTCGTAGAAGTTTTAAATGTTCTTAAATAACTAAAATATTTCTTAAGTATAACAATGAAATTAAAAAAAAATATTTTGTAAATTGTATCAAATATGATGCGTTTTTGGGGTAACTTTGCACCGACGCAAAGTTACCTCAATCTTATAATTTACCTTATACCTACTTATGTAGATTTTTTTTTAAATAGGGATGCCTAGAACTTATAAAAGAGCTGTCGGTTCAAGGCAATATGGTAACTATTCAACAGAAAATCTAGCAAAATGTTTAGATGATATAAAAGAACGCCACTTAACTCAGAGAGAAGCAGCCAAAGTATACAATATACCTAGTAGGACAATTAACTATAAATTAAGAGAAAATGAAGATTATAGGCTCACCAACTGTTTTCACTGACCAAAAAGAAAACACTTTTGTAAAATGTATAATTTCAATGAGTGATTCTGGTTTAACTAGGTGAAAATGACTTAAAACTAATAGTAAAAGATTACCTCACAACAATTTGAAAGAAAGTGAAAAAATTCAAAAACAATATTCCTGCGCCTGATTGGTCTAAACAGTTTTTAAAAAGGCATCCAGAACTATCAGTAAGGTTTGTAGCTAACATTAAAAAAAGTCGAGCAGCTATTAGTGAAGATGTTATCAAAGATTATATTAATAATTTGTCAGTTGTAGTCCAAAATGTCCCTCCTCAAAATATTTGGAACTATGATGAAACTAATTTGACAGATGACCCTGGCACAAAAAAATGTATGGTGAAACGTAGCACTAAGTATCCAAATAAGATTTGTAACAGTTTTAAAACTAGTATATCTTTAATGATATCAGGTAGTGCAGCTGGTGAAATTTTGCCTCCTTATGTGGTATACCGTTCAAATTGTATGTGGAATACTTGGACTGAAGGTGGGCCTAAAGGAGCTCGTTATAGTAACACCCCAAGTGGTTGGTTTGATGGATTAACATTTGAGGAATGATTCATCAGCCTAATGTTACCCAGACTAAAAAAGCTTGGTGGGAAAAAAGTGTTAATTGGTGATAACCTATCATCACATATTTCAGTAAAAGTACTTGAAGAATGTAAAGAGAATAATATTGCGTTTGTGTGCCAAATAGCACCCATTTAACCCAGCCTTTGGACGTCGCATTTTTCAGACTAATGAAGTGTGCATGGAGACAAATTTTATCAACCTACAAAGAGACAGGCAACGGTTCGAAAAATGACACTCTTCAAAAACAAGATTTTCCACGATTGCTACAAGCCTTCATGACATCAATTGAACCCAATCAAAGTGCAAATTTAAAGGCTGGATTTAAGAAATGTGGAATATATCCAGCATCTGCACATGAGATTCTAAAATCCTTTACTAATTCAGAATGTGATCAAAGCCCTATTGTAGAAAGTTTTAAGTCATTTTTAAAAAATAAAAGAAATACAATAACTGGATTAGACAATACTACTTATCAATGCGAGCAACTTTTTTTCATTAATGAACAGTAATAAATCACCCGTTAGATCCAGATTAACCGACACACATCTAAATGCAGTATTAAAAGTGGCTTCGTCAAATAATATTTCTCCAGAAATTGAAAAGTTGGTGGGAGAAAAGAGATGTCAAATATTATCTAAAAAGAATTATTAATATGTTTTTTATTTGTAATTTATACAACACCTATTTTCGTAAATAACTAGTAGGTATGATTTATATTTTATTTAAATGTTAATGTTAATTTTTTTTTATTTTTTTATTTAGTTGTAATCAGGGTTTGAATCGTAAATAACGTACAACGGAGTATTTATAACTAATATACTATTTATTATAAGTAACGCGTAGTAAGCTATTCAATATATTTGGCCCACTTGATACTTTGAGTTTGACATGACTGTACTATAGGTACATAGGTATATTTATACATATAAATATGATATGACCAAACATTTACAAACTATAATATAGGTACTATGAAACACACGATAACCAAATTTTGGGATATTATATATTTGTTAATGATTATTTTTGGTTATTTTTTAATTACACGCTTTGAAGTATAAGTATTAAATTTTTTTATGTGATTTTTCTAAATATTTTTTTTGTTTATCATCATACAAATATATATTAAGTATATTAAACACTTACCTAGGTGTTCGTTGTCCATTTCTTATTTGAGAATGTCTAAAATTGAATAAAAGAATCAAATTAATACCTTATACAATAATCGACAAAACTCGAATGCGAATAAATGCTAAAGTAACAGTTTCATGAAAACATTATCTACTTTTCTTATCGTATGAGCAGTCTAACGAGCTCAATATCATTTTAGATACTTATTTAATATTACATATGATATATATATTGGATTAATACAAAACAATATTTATTTCAATCAAATTTTAAAATGGACTTTTTTCCGCCTAAAACTGGATTTCAGACCACTGTGCGTCGATCCCATAAGAGCAGAAACGTCTGCAACAACCAGGGAAATACTCAATGATTTAGGAGACCTGAATTCGGGACCGTCTCAACCTAAAACTAAGGTACCTACTTAACTATGATTTTATTATAATATTTTATTTATTTAAAAAATATATTAATTAATTATATAATATAAAGGAAAAATGTAACATTTAACACTTTATTTTGAATAAAAATTTAGATTCCTTTGACCAAGTTTGGAGAGCAGAAACGTAGTTTTAATAAATCATACTATGAAAAACATGAATGGGTAGAGTACTCTATATCTAGAGATGCAATATTCTGTTTTGCTTGCCACATTTTTGGAACAGATTCAGTAGAACCTTTATTGACATTAACGGGTTTCAAAAATTGGAAAAAAGCAAGTATTTTATAAAATGTTATTATTTAGTCATATTATTGTAATCATTTAAATAAATGTAATTGCATAGTTAAGTGAGTCTAGAAGCACAAAGACAAAGTACAACAAGTTATCAAAACTAGAAGCACATAGTGGAACTGAAATTCATTTAACGTATATGGCTCGATGGAATGGATATAAGTCTGGAAAATTACACAGTAATGTTCATACTTAATTGTTGTCAAATCATGAATGGTTGGTTGAATCTATTAGGAAATATGTTAAAACATAAGTGTATGAGAAAAATCGTAGCCCTCCAACTTTTTCAATGGATTTCTGCCTATGGACATTTTGAACAACATTATAATACACTTTGGAAAGAAATGCTTGAATTTAGCACTAAACGTGAAATTTATCTTGAAATTCCTTTGCAATGTAAGAAAAAATAAAAAATACTGAATTAATTTATAGGTAGGTACTTTATAATTATTTATTTATTTGGTTATAGCTGTATCAAAGAAAAGATTACAAAAAGAGCCATCTCAACTCAAAGATTTTGTTTGTTTGTCAACAACTAGTGCTGGTGATGATCATACTGTAGATATTGTAGAAACGAAAAAAAACTTTTGGAAAAAGAAAGTTTATTATTGTGTATTAGATACAATGATAAATATTTTAAAAACAAGATTTTCTGAAGCGGATAATTTACTAAAATTGAATTTTGAAGGTTCTTCATTTTTGTGCCACTTGCTTAAATTATGTAGGTATATAAAAAAATATTATTATAACAATATAGTAATATATTTGTAACATATAACATATTATAATAATAAGTAGTTTATATTGTATACTATAACATTATAATATAATAATATAATACTAATAGTCTTTTATAATAAAACGCTAATAACGGGTATAAGATCCGCGGGGAGCGCTGACGGCACTCCGCGTTTCTTCCATGACGACCAATCACAATACTTCCCGCGCGTTCGCTATAAATTCCGCTCGCTTATCTCCCTTTTCCTTATCGACGAATATTTTCGAACATTATTATTATTATTATTCCGTATTTCTATATATTATTATTATGAAAATTGGGATATTTCCGTGTGTAATATTATAATATGTAAAAACGAAAAATTCAGAAACGGTTCAAGTGCTCGAGATTCAAAAATTCAAAAACCCATGTTTTTCAATTTTTTGACGTGATAATAACGTCTTATAAATCGATTACCCCGCGACCGTCGGGCGGAGTGGGGGGACCCATTAAACGAGTAATTATTTTTGACGAAGTATAACTTAGAAACCCCGTACCAATGGACATCTCAATTTTTTAGGCCCCAGATGAATTTTCAACATTAGGGAACCAAAGCCCCCACCCCCCCCCACATTTTGAGTTGAGTATAACTCGGCCGGAATTCAAGTTAAAGACCTCGGACCAAGGGGGAACCCATTCTTTTTATGTATACTACCGTTTTCCGCTTTAGGAAACGGGGGCACCTCCTCCCCCCTTTTGGATTTTGCTTTTTTGATGGATTTTGGTCCGGGAGAGTACTAACACCCACCTCGCCAAGGGGAAACTCGGGGTTTTGAGTTTTTGATAGGATTTATTGGGATTTTCTTAAATATTGTTTTTATTGATAAGGAAAGTGATAAGAATTTTATTTTCGAAATAATTTTTGCCCCTTAAATTTATAAATTTATAAATTCCATTGTGATTTACATTTACCTCCTTCCCTATATACATACAAATCTATTAATGGGGGACGAGGTGGCCGAGTGGTCGAACACGTCGTCTGCTACGCTGGCGGTCGCGGGTTCGATTCTCTCGACCACTGGGCGGCATTTTTCTCCGGGCAAGTCACGGTGTCCGGAGAACAGGGGGCACTCCGGGGCATGGCAGAAACCTACGGGTGCCCCAATAGAAATTCTGCCAAACACAACATACACGTGTAATAACCCTACAATTTCAAACCCTACTACCTACAAATTACAATCATAAACCCTACAATCAAGCTAATGGCCATAGTTGCCGGGCTTTAAAAAGATCAAAAAAAAAAAACAAATCTATTAAACAAATGAAATTAAAATTTACTTTTGAAAAATGCTACCATTCCTTCAGTATTTTCTTAACACGTTGTCACGTTCAACTATCGTCAGTAAACCGACTTTACAGACAACCGATTTTTTCTTTGCATTACTACTACATAATAATTGTTTTTAAAATCTTCTAAAATGTTATGTTCCCTTTAATAAATTGTATTTTGAATTTTATTATCGTACCTAATCAAATTTTATATTTACTAACTGCCTGTGTAAGGCGATTCCGGGCGTTGTGGAAGCCGCAATTAATCAGCATTTCAATAATATATTAAAAATATAAGTAGTTTGAATGCACGGATTAGATAGACATTTTTCATGAGTATTGCAGTACATTTAACTATTATAGCTAAGAGTTTTAGCTTGGTATGTCGATTGTTTATGACAATGTCGTTACATACATAATAATGTAAGTAATATTAAGTAAACATGAAAAGACTACAATAAATTCAATACATTTTAATTTCTTAAAACATACATGTTATGTAATATTATGCCTCGGGGGGCACCGTTCGGACCTTATTCGCCTTCCCCGCTAGATTTATAAGCCGCGCGCGGCCGTACTTTTTTCCCGTCGGCCCCGCCGCCGCCGAGATCGAGTGCAATAGGCGCGCCGCCGTCGAGCTCGTTTTTTGTCGTTTTTTTTGAAAATTCGAGTTTTAGGCGTTTTAGGACGTATCGACCTCCCCGTTTGGATCTTATTCGCGTTCCCCGCTAAATTTACAGTCGGCGCGCGGCCCTACTTTTTCAAAAACGAGTCCCCCGGCGGACGATTCGATCGCCGCGTCGATTGCCTACCTGACTAGCTACTTGCATACGAGCGACTTACACCCCCCCTGCAACCGACACTCGGGAATCGACTTTTACCCGAGATGACTGATAGCTAGACACTCAAACTCAGAGAACCCGACTTTCCGATTTCAACACACATACGAGAACCGGACATACACGCTCATGTACTGTACTTATTACATTCCCTATCGGTGAGCTGATTTTTATATGCTTATATTAAGTCGCATGTCATTGGTATGTGTGTAGTAATAAATGTGTGTAGTAATAAAACATTATTATAATATCATATAATTATTACTTCAATTCATACCTTATACCTGTACCAACCTTTACATTGGGCTACACATATTAATTTTTTGCAATATTTCAAACAAATTTCAAAACAAGAAAACTACATATACATATTATATATATGTTTTAAAATTATAATAAATTGAATTTAAATTCCTCCAATGCTTAAAATATTGTAATATTTTTATTATGTCGTTGGTATGCAAAAATGTATTATACATGATTTATACATATTATATTATTGTATTAATAATAATAAATACATAAGTATATATAATTTATATTCTACTTTTTTAAACTCTATTATATATATATTTATTTATGATTGTGTTTAATGTTATGTATATTAAAATTTAAACTTTATTGTGTTTAAAATAAAATGTATGTAGTAAAAAATGTAGTAGGTAACTAATAAGTAATTTTTTTTTTTTTACTTAAGTACCACCACACATGTTGCCTTCAGTATTATTCAATAACCCAAATGTGAAACGCAAAATTCAGAAA